AAAGGCACCTTGGAGACTAACAAATTTATCTGAGCTTTTGTTAGTCTCTAAGGTGCCACAAGTACTCCTTTTCTTTTTGCGAATACAGACTAACACGGCTGTTACTCTGAAACCTGAAAATCTAAGTACACTATATCCACTGGATCCCCCTTGTCCACGTGCTTGTTGACCCCTTCAAAGAATTCTGGTAGATTGGTGAGGCATGATTTCCCTTTAGAAAAACCATGTTGACTCTTCCACATGAGCTGAAAGTAGTAGTAGGTCCCTTATCTTCCGAGGTGGCTAATAGAGGGCCACATGTCAGTTACACAAGTTATTCTGAAGCTGGCACCTCCCATTCTCTCCAGAAACCCACTATATTTTACCTTGATTATCACTACAAAAGGCTTTCTCCCCCCCCCACTCTTCTGCTGGTATTAGCTCATCTTAAGTGATCACTCTCCTTACAGTGTGCATGATAACACCCATTTTTTCATGTTCTGTGTGTATATAAATCTCCTCAATGTATTTTCCACTGCATGCATCCGATAAAGTGAGCTGTAGCTCATGAAAGCTTATGCTCAAATAAATTGGTTAGTCTCTAAGGTGCCACAAGTACTCCTTTATATTTTCTTTTGCATTCATAAGGAGGAGAAACAGTCTGGACTCTAAAAAGTGAGGCTTGATTAGAACTAAAGCACAATTACATAAGCTAAAGGAGAGCCATGAGTTCCTAGCTGTGTGTCTGTGAAGCTGCCACTGGATTCCTTCCAACCAGTTTTCTCTAGCCCCAGTCCAGTTCCCGCTAACATACACTCTGTTCTTCAAGGCACAGCACATACTCCTGGCATCTCCCCATTCCAGTAAAGACAATCCCAAACAATTTTATATATATACCAACTGTTTCTCTACAAATACCATCAGATTCTTGACTCCATGAGTCTTTCAGATACTTGTCACAGTCTATTAGATTGACGAGGCACCATTTCAGTCCTTGTACAAGCTGAATCAGCTGACTGCTCTGGTTAGAATCATAGAATCATAGAAGATTAGGGTTGCAAGGGACCTTAGGTGGCCATCTAGTCCAACCCCCTGCTCAAAGCCTGAGCTTAAAAAACTCTAAGGATGGAGATTCCACCACCTCCCTAAGAAACCCATTCCAGTGCTTTACCACCCTCCTAGTGAAATGGTGTTTCCTAATATCTAACCTAGACCTCCCACACTGCAACTTGAGACCATTGCTTCTTGTTCTGTCATCTACCACCAATGAGAACAGCCAAGCTCCATCCTCTTTAGAACCCCCCTTCAGGTAATGGAAGGCTTCTATCAAATTCCCCCTCACTCTTCTCTTCTGCAGACTAAATAACCCCAGTTCCCTCAGCCTCTCTTTGTAAGTCATGTGCCCCAGCCCCCTGATCATTTTCATTGCCCTCCACTGGACTCTTTCCAATTTGTCCACATCCTTTCTGTAGTGGGAGGACCAAAACTGGACGCAGTACTCCAGATGTGGCCTCACCAGTGCCAAATAGAGGGGAATAATCACTTCCCTCAATCTGCTGGCCATGCTCCTACTAATACAGCCCAATATGCCATTAGCTTTCTTGGCAACAAGGGCACACGGCTGACTCATATCCAGCTTCTTGTCCACTGTAATCCCCAGGTTCTTTCTGCAGAACTGGGCTGAAGGATGCTCATTGGGTTTCTCAGGGCTTTGGCCTGTAGCTGTCAGTGAAGAATCTGCCTCCTTACCTCCCTCTTCTTCAGGAAAGAGTTGCAGATGTCTCCTGTTCCTCCAAAATGTATGCCCTACAGGAGTTTGTACTTCATCTGGTAGTGGGGTGACCATGAATCACTACTGGCCTCTGTGCCTGGCAAGAACTATCATGAATAGACACTGCATCACTGCGCTTCAACAGCTCCAACACACTAGAGCTGCTGTCATGATATATCTTTTGCTTACACTTACAATGTTCCTTATGGACACCTTAATCAGTATTGCCATTAGGGTTCACGACTAACTTATGGAGTCTTGTTCTCAACTTCCTGCCCAACAATGTCTCTGCAGGTGACAGCCCACGATTCACTGATGCTGCTCTGTACCTGAGTCAGCGGTCTTTTTCAAAAGTCTTTTCACAATTTTCACGCCATTCACTACAAAACGGTTGGCTTGAGAATACCTGGGACTGGAAGTTACCTGCTTAAGCCCATACACTGCAGCCAATTATTTAAATTCATGTCTATCAAACTGTGGACCATTATCAGACATAATCACTTCATGGATTCCATGGCTGGAAAATATGGGTTTCATGCACATTATAACATTTTGATGTGGTATTTTCTAATGAAACAACCTTTGGAGAATGAGAATCATAATCCAAAATCAAAACATAGTCTTTACTGCATATGCAACTAAATCCACACCAACGTTGGACCATGCCCTTATCTGTTCATTGTATACCAGCATAGGCTCTTCTTTTCTGTTTAGGTTGGTACTGTTGACATGTTTCACACATTTTAACAGTTTTCTCCATCGCATTGTTCATTTGTGGCCAATACAGTATCTCTCCAGCTCTGTGGTTACATTTCTCCATGCCCAAGTGGCCTTTGTGTATTCTTGTGAGCATGTCAGCCTGTAACGTCTTAGGCACTATTATTATTCTATTTTCTCTAAACAATACACTATCAATGAGAGACAGTTCTGCTTTGAACTGGAAATGTGGACTTGATACGTGATGTCCTGTCCACCCTGTGGTAATAGCCTTGATCACCCTCTGTAAAGTCTAGTCATTAGCTATAGTCCCAGCAACTTGAGCCGGGACAATTCTTTATCAAGTGGACATGCACTCTGTCTGACTTCACCTCTGTTTCTACTCCAGTTTGATCAAATGGTCTGGACAATGTGTGTGTATGAAGGTATTGAGAGATACCATTCCTCTGTGGTCAGAGGCCAGCACCTGGCTGGCTGATTAGCCCCGTCCACGGCACCTGGGGAAAAGAGCTGGCACTTAATTGGCTGATTCTCATAAAAGAGGGCAGCAGGATTTGGAGGGAGGGGGTCAGCAACACTTCCTAGAAAGCTGAGGGGTCACTGGTTTGGAGCAACTGTATTACCGAGGCTCTAAGGGAAGGGCCAGGAACGTTTGGGTTGCTGAGCTTAGTGGTGTGACGGGCAGACTTGAGGAAGTGACTATTCAGCATGGGCGGGCTCTGAGGGAAGAGGCAGTGAAGTTTGATTTGTTTGTTAAGAAGCCTTGAAATAAATTAAAATAATACCTAACTCTGCTGGAAACTGCTTCCCTGGAGTCTATGAGAGCTTCGATACAATGACCCCAGGGGGTGAGCTGGCTCAGCAAGAGCAACGTCTGGCCGGGTAGGAGGTGTCTCCTATGAGATAGGCCCCAATTCTTTACAGTGTGCTACCACCTACTCTTTTCCTTGTTTTTAGACTATTTCCAAATCAGACAATTGGATCTGAAAACCAGTCATTGTAACCAGGGCAGAGTGTCCACTAGCTCTTCTTTGCCATTGATATCACAGGCTTATGGTCTATTTCTGCAACAACTTGTCTTCCATAAATGAACGAACGATCTTTGTTTTACAGCCATGTACCAGGGCTAAAGCTTCCTTTTCAATTTGGGCATAATGGCATTCTGTTTTTGTAAGAGTGCTGGATGCGTACGCCACCAGTCTTCAGGTGGTGCTCATATTTTGTAGCAATGGAGCCCCTATGCCTTCTTTGGAGGATCTGTGGACAATTTGATCTGTCTTCTGTTGTCAAAATACCTCAGGACAGGGGCTTTCTGAATCAATTGTTTTACGTTGCCAAACTCTTTGTCCAGGTTAGTATCCCACATCCATTGATTATTCTTTTGCATTAGTATGCAGAGATTGCTGGTTAATCCAGCCAAATTATCATTGTCTATCTATCTATCTATCTATCTATCTATCTATCTCAACAAAATTCTCCATTCCTGTGAACAGCTGTAGTCCCTCTTCATTTTCTGGGTGTGGCATATCTGTTATAGCTTGCCCTCTGCTACGATCAATACATACCCCTTATTCAGTTAACCTTTCTCCTCAATAGGTAATTTCTCTGAGCCTGAATTTACATTTTTGTTTAGCTTCAGGCCTACTGTTCTCGTCTTGTCCAATGCTCTCTTTAACCTGTAATTATGTTTTTCTGTTGTGCTGCCCCAGATGAGAATGTAATCTGTGTACACTTCAATTCCCTCAAATATTTGCTTTACAGTCCTATGAAAGCCTTCTGGAGTGGATAGATTTTAGACCAAGTGATAATCTGAGAAAGCAATATCTTCCATATGGTGTAATAAAAATACATAATTTGAAACTCCTCTCATCTCAGGGAATCCACCAGAATCCAGAAAATGCATCTAAAGTAGTAAAATACTTTTGTATCAGCCGTATTCCCCAGTAATATCTTCCCTGGTAGGGAACTGAAAATGCTCCCTTTTGATATATTTGTTAAGCTCCGAAGGATCCAGGCATAATCTGTATTCCGTCCTCCTCCCCACCGAAATTTTTACTAGTGAGTGCACCCATTTGTAGGCTCTTCTAATTCTGTCTGTTGTTACTAAACAATCCAGTTCTTCTTTGAACTTTTTTCTCATCCTTAGAGGACTATTTCTAGAGGCATGTATGATGGGACAATTGGGCTCTGTTAGTTCAATTTTATATTCAGTTGCTAGTTTTCTTATGACCTTGAAACATCCTGAGACTGTTCCTCTATGCCTATGTCCCTTATCTCCTCTGCCATGTGTACTCTTTGTATCAGCCCAAGGGCTTGACATGCTTTTAAACCCATATAAGTGCTTTATTCCCTTTAACTGTCACAAAGTTTATGAGTTCTATTTGATCCTTTACCTTCACTTCTAGTACATGCATACTACTAGTTGAAACGAGTTCCCCACTATAAGATTTGAGTTTAACCTGTTTGCTCACCATGTTTCCTGGCTTTTTTTCCCCTTCAGCCTTTTAACACTAGTATCTGAAACAACATTTACCTGAGCTCCAGTGTCCAATCTGTAGGTTATAAGAGTCCCATTAGTCTCTAAGGAAATTGTCCATTCATCTGTTCCTTCCTCTTCAGATACAACTCCTAGATAAAACTCGTCTTCTGTGCTGCTGTCTGTACTCTCTTCCGAGATTAGTGCTTCGGAATGCAGGCTTTGCCTCCTTGTCTGCTGTTGTTGATCCTGGTTGCAGACTTTGGCAAAATGACTGCATTTCTTACAAACGTTGCAGCGCTTAACAAAAGCCGGGCATTGTTAAGGTCTGTATTTGTGTCCACATCTTGTACCATGCTTGAAGCTGTCGCTTGTGAACTCTCACGTTTTGTTTTTTTCAGGTTTCTCTGTGTTTTTTGTTCTCTAGTGACTTACTGCTTGCCAGTTTTTTCTCTCTCTTGTCACTCTATCAAGATTGGCGGTGTCCTATTTTCCTTCCATTATTTTTATTCTGTTTGGAGTGATTTGTGCTGCCTGACACAGTCTTACTGTTTTATCCAAAGTGAGATCCATATCTTCCAGTAGTCATTTTTGCAGCTCTGGGTCTCTGATTCCAATTCCAATTGGATCCATTATAACTGAATCTGTTAATTGTTCGTAGTTGCAGGCTTGGCTCATTAGCTTCAGCTCTGTTAGGAATTTTTCAAAGGACTCTTCTTCCTCTTGTCTTCTAAAGTGAAATTTATACCTTTCAAATGTTTCACTCTTTTGGAGTATGCAATACTCTTCAAATTTCTGCAAAATTATGTCACAACTTGATGTCTCTGTTTGATTTAATTGCATGCTATTAAAGACATCAACTGTCTCAAGTCCTGCAATGTTTAAGAGGATTGTGATTTTCTGCTGGTCTTCCTTCTTATCAAAGAGAGCTGCTTGCATATATAAGCTCAGAATCTCTTCCAGGAGTCTGCTGCATTATCTGAAAGTTTCAACTCCTTGGTGGCTTTTAGTCACTCCATCTCCAAGATGACTCCCTTACTCCTTCATCACAGTTTTCTTTCTCTGTCCTCACTTCTGACTCACTCTGGTACCATGTGTCATCTTGTGAATTCATTGGAAGTCACAGCCTGGACACTGAGAAAGCCTTACTCCTTAGAACTAAAACAGAATTTGGTACGGAACAGGAGAGCCATGAGCTCTTAGCTGTGTGTCTAGGGAAGTGGCCACTTGGCTGCTTCCGACCAGTGTTCTTTAGCCCCAATCCAGTTCCCTCTAATGTGTGATCTTCCCTTAAAGGCACAGTATGTTCTCCTGACACCCACCAACACCCCAGTCTGGTGTGGTTCCCTCTTCAGACAGGTCAGGTCCAGCATCTCCTTGCACCTGTCTGGTCCCGTTCCTCTCAGGATGACTCTTAGTATAGTCCAGCTTCTATTTCCTGTACAGCCCTGATCCTCCTCCTTGGGCACCCCAGCTCTGATCTGGTACCTCGCCGGGCAGGTTCAGTTCTAGGTTCACCTTCCCACTGCAGTGGCTACTTTCAAAGCATGTTATGCAAGAGATTCCCTGTCAATTCCCCTTATGACAGTGTCAGAAAACAGCAATAGCCTGTGTCAGAGGAAAGGACGTCAGATGTGATGTGTGAAAGGCCTGATCCCATATGGCAAATTCTGCAATCCCAGCCTTCCACTAATACAATAAGGAGTTGAGCTCTTTGTACAACTTTATAACAACACTAAGATAGGGACACTGAACTTTTCTGCCGAGTAAGGCAAATTTGCATTATTTCTCTTCCTGTGTGAAACGAGGTGTATGGCTAATATCAGGTGCTTTTCATACCAAATTAGCACAGGATACACTAAAGATAACTGTTTTATCAGGACTAAAAATTTCTGCACCAACTTGCAGGGATGTTATTGCATGCTGGACAGACATACCTCTCTTCTTTAAATTAGTCAGTCACTTGTGAATATAATGATCTATGTTACCCCTAGTCTCCATACAGAGAAATAGTTTGTATATGTCTATAGGATAGAAGTTTGGAGAAGAAATAATGGCTTTGGCTCCTATTTCTGTCCTTGATAATTTTGGTCAGTTGCAGTCAATTTGAAATGCTTTCGCTGGAATGGCATGAATTTACCACCGATTACAGAAGCTGTCTGAAAATCATTTCCCTTGCCGGTCCAGCTGGCATTTATTTCAGAGAATTTCAGACATCAAAGCAACAGAATTACTGCAATATTCAAGCATAAACCTGTGGCTGCATCTATGCATTAATTTTTGAGTTCATTGAGGAAACTGCTTGACTCTGGAACAGACAAGGTTAGAAATAGAATAAAAAGGGAAATGCAGCCACACTGAAGAATACCTTTTAGACTACTTTTATTCAGGCATCTTTCGGGATAATTTAATAGCAGATTGCCAACAGGCACAGAAAGATTTTAAAAATTCACAAAAACAGGGTTGTGTTAGGATTTTCTATTACATTTTAAAAAGGAAGCAGATTGACTTTTTTGACTGTTTTATGGGGAATATGCTGAACAGATTGCCTGGTTTGGTTTTAGTTAATTATACTGTACCTTCTAATTGCAGAAAGGAGTATATTTTCTCTATGGTCATATCCATACAAGTATGTTCTGTATATACACACATAAAGAGGAGGTGGATGTTGACAGGTATTTCTGAAAGGGAAAGCTGCTTTCTGCACAATGACTTAAAATTAAAGCATTGTAATCTCTTCATACCGAAGAAGATCAAATGTTTTCTGTATGTAATAGTGTCAAGAGAATAGTTTTGCAAGGTGGAGTGTACATATGCCGTGTAGCTCTATTCATTGCAAGGTGAGACATTCTTCATGTGGCATTGGGCTAGCATAGGTTTCTGTTTCCGTTGGAGCTTCCATGGACTGGATGAGACCATTTAGAATGGATGTAAGTACAGTAGTTTGTACACATTATAACTCTGTGTGGACAGGAAGAGTCCACAGTATTAATGCAATTCCCCTTACATGAAGCTCGTATTCACCAATGTACCAGCCTCCTTATAAATGGAAACTATGGGACTAAGTCCAAACACATTAAACTCCAATCGGAGGCTTTGCATTGACATCAATGGCTCTCGGATTGACCCCAAAGGTTTGTCTATCCTTCTCCATCTCTCCCCAGCGTGTTGCCGCTATGAGAATTCTATGATGAAGCTTGCAGATGAGACAAAGATGGGGGAGAATGGTAAATAATGAACAGGAAAGGTCAATGATACAGAGCGATCTTGGTAAGCTGGGTGCGAGCAAACAATACGTGCTTTAATACAGCTAAATGTAGGAACAAATGTAAGAATGCTTAGGAACAATGGATGTAGGCCATGGTTACAGGCTAGGATCATAGAAATGTAGGGCTGGAAGGGACCCTGAGATGTCACCAGGCCCAGCCCCCTGTGCTGTGGCAGAACCTAGTAACCCTGGATCATCCCTTACAAGTGTTTGTCCGACCTGTTTTTAAAAACCTCCAGTGATGAGAATCAACAACCTCCCTTGGAAGCCTGCTTCAGAGCTTCACTTTCTTCATGGTTAGAAAGTTTTTCCCCTCTAATATCCAAGCTAGGAAGTTCTCCTCTTGCAGATTAAGCCCACTGCTTCCTGTTTTACTTTCAGAATCCATAGAAAATAATTGATCGCTGGCCTCTTTATAACAGCCTTTAACAGCCTGGAAGCCACAGGCCCCCGTCTGCTTTTCTCGAGACTGTGCATGCTCAGTGTTTTTAACCTTCCCTCGTAGGTTGGGTGCCAGAGCAGCAGCCGTGTCCGTCTGTACCCGCAGAAAGAATAGGAGGAGTCGTGGCACCTTAGAGACTAATATATGCTGGACGGTTGATAAATTGGGGAGGGTTCAGAGAAGAGCCACAGGAATAGTGAAAGGATTATAAAATATGCCTTGTCATGAGAGACTCTAGGAGCTCAATCTATTTAATTTAGCAAGGAGATTAATAGATTCATAGATACTAAGGTCGGAAGGGACCATTATGATCATCTAGTCCGACCTCCTGCACAATTCAGGCCACCGAATCTCACCCACCCACTCCTGCGAAAAACCTCACCTATGTCTGAGCTATTGAAGTCCTCAAATCGTGGTTTAAAGACTTCAAGGAGCAGAGAATCCTCCAGCAAGTGACCCGTGCCCCATGCTGCAGAGGAAGGCGAAAAAACCCCAGGGTCTCTTCCAATCTGCCCTGAAGGAAAATTCCTTCCTGACCCCAAATATGGTGATCAGCTAAACCCTGACCATGTGGGCAAGATTCACCAGCCAGATACCCAGGAAAGAATTTTCTGTAGTAACTCAGATCCCACCCCATCTAACATCCCATCACAGGTCATTGGGCCTATTTACCATGTATAGTTAAAGATCAATTAATTACCAAAATCATGTTATCCCATCATACCATCTCCTCCATAAACTTATCAAGTTTAATCTTGAAGCCAGATAGGTCTTTTGCCCTCACTGCTTCCCTTAGAAGGCTATTCCAAAACTTCACTCCTCTGATGGTTAGAAACCTTCGTCTAATGTCAAGTCTAAACTTCCCGATGGCCAGTTTATATCCATTTATTCTTGTGTCCACATTGGTACTGAGCTTAAATAATTCCTCTCCCTCTCCGGTATTTATCCCTCTGATATATTTATAGAGAGCAATCATATCTCCCCTCAACCTTCTTTTAGTTAGGCTAAACAAGCCAAGCTCCTTGAGTCTCCTTTCATAAGACAGGTTTTCCGTTCCTCGGATCATCCTAGTAGCCCTGCTCTGTACCTGTTCCAGTTTGAATTCATCCTTCTTAAACATGGGAGACCAGAACTGCACACCGTATTCCAGGTGAGGTCTCACCAGTGCCTTGTATAACGGTACTAAAACCTCCTTATCTCCACTGGAAATACCTCGCCTGATGCATCCCAAGACCACATTAGCTTTTCTCACGGCCATATCACATTGGCGGCTCATAGTCATCCTATGATCAACCAATACTCCAAGGTCCTTCTCCTCCTCTGTTACTTCTAATTGATGCATCCCCAGCTTATAACTAAAATTCTTGTTATTAATCCCTAAATGCATAACCTTACAGATGGTTAAGGGGTGACTTGATCACAATATGTAAGTATCTACATAGGGAACAAATATTTGAAAATGGGATCTTTAATCTAGCTGACAAAGGTCTGACACGATCCAATGGCTGGAAGATGAAGTTAGACAAATTCAGACTGGAAGTAAGTCTGAGGGTAATTAACCATTAGAACAATTTACCAAGGGTTTGGTAGATTCTCCAGCACTAGCAATGTTTAAATCAAGATTGGAGGGTTTTTTTTTTAGTTATATGCTCTAGTTCGAAAGAAATTCTCTGGCCTGTGTTATACAGGAGGTCAGACTAGACGATCACAGTGGTCCCTTCTGGCCTTGGAATCTATTAACCTATTTTGCTCTGTGATCCAGGGTGAGATTCCTAAATGTTTTCAGTGGCCAGGGACTCTGGAACTAGGAGCATCCTCTGTAGAGTGAGGGCCAGGCATGGACATGTCTGATATTTCAGGCAATGAGTGGAGATCTCATGAGGCTGTTGTCACTTCTTCCTGTTTGTTTTGATGTTGCAAGCCAAATGCAGTGCTGTGTATCTCACATCACATGGCATGGGGAACTCAACAACCTGTCCTAATCCTCACAAAGTCAGAGAAACAACAATACCAGTTGCATGATGTCTGCTGTCCCCGAGGCAAACAGCACGTATATCCAAAAGGCTTCAGGTAGGGCTGGTTGGAAAATAGAATTTCTGTCCTGCAGGAAATTCCAGTGTTCCAAAATGTGTTTTCATTCCCAATCAAAAGAAAAAGGCAACATTTCTAAATGTTTT